ATTAAAAAAAAAGAAAAAAAAAAAATAGTAAGAAGATATAAAAAAAATTGTGCAACTCTCGCGTTAGTTTGTTTCGCGAGTTTCGTGGAAAAAGCGCGAAAAATCTTTATCTCGCGGAAACTGTACACGCTTTGGACCTTCGCAGATCAGCGTGTGCATCATCGCGGCGTCCTTCCATCTTGTGGTGGGCATTACTATGGCATACTCGGCGACTCTCGTTCCACAACTCGAGAACCCAGAAGAGTCGTTCCACGCAACGAAACAGCAGACTTCCTGGATAGGTAAAATTGCACGAATAGCGCACGCATGTGTAGCGAGGTCGATGTCGCGGAGGATCGTAAAGACGGAACACGCCGTGAAGCGCGTTATTCCGTGAAAGAGATGCGCTTTCTGCTACTATCAATTGTAAATCGCGATAAATATCCAACCGTTCTATCTCGCGAATGCGTTCGCGATCGCGAAACACGACGTGAGATAATAATTTATTTTTATGTTCGCTAAGAAATTTTCTCACGAAATGCACGTATGCAATATTAAATTTCGCGCAGTCATCGACGATATCGTTGACGATTTGTTGACGATTTCTTTTATCATTAGACATGTGAGTTATGTCAAGTTTTCATTTTTTTTTTCAATTTATCATGATTATCAGAAGATCCACGTGCGTGTTACTGAGCTTGTGTCTGCTAGCTGACCGGCGATATTCGATCGATTTCCACGCTTTAATTAAATCTGCGTTACGCAAGGCAATCTATGTCCGTCGGCGTCGCGATCTTCATGCAATGGAAATTTCTTGTTTTCGTTCCAGATACGTTAGTCGAAAATATCGACAATTGTCGTTGACATTTCCAATTGAACTTTCGTGTTCGACAAGTCAGATGGAATTTTTTTCCATTAAAATACGCGCAAAAATGAAAAATTAGATAATCACGAAGAAATATTATTTTCGCTTGAAAAATGCTATTTTGCGGAGAAAATGCGTTAAAATTATAGTTACAATAAAGAATAAATAAATAAGGATTAGAAGTATGAAGGATGAGAAAGAGCAGGAAGATAAAATCGATCCGACTTTCAGCCAGCTTGGTTGTCATCTCCGCGCCGATTGGCGCCATGTTGGGAGGCTTCCTGATGGAGTCAGTCGGTCGAATAAGGACCCTGCAAATCGGCGTGATTCCCAATGTGATCGGCTGGATTATGATCGCCACGGCGCAGAACATACCAATGTTGCTGGTCGGTCGTTTGCTCTGCGGAATGGCAACCGCCATGGAGATCTCGCCGGCAATCGTGTACATCACCGAAGTCGCCAGGCCGGAGTTGCGCGGCTCCCTGATCTCGGTCGGACCGACGTTGGCGTCGTTAGGAATGGTACTGTCTTACGTGAAAGGCTCTTACCTGCACTGGCGACTGGTTGCTTGGCTCAGCATCATCTACGCGATTGTGCCTGTCATCCTGGTGCAGTTCTTGGTGCCGGAATCGCCCGTCTGGCTCGTCTCGAAAAACCGCATCGCAGATGCCCAGAAAGCCCTGGAACGGTAAATCAAATCTGTTTAATTAAATGAGATTTTACAAATTTAATAAATAAATAATAAGTGAGATGTTAAATGAACAGATACAATAATAAAACTAGTAGTTACTGATAAGATTCTTATACCAGAAAGCAATTTATGACAACTGATTCATAATAATGACATTTTAATCTTGTAATAAATTATTAGAATTCACGCGCGAAACTTGGAAATATTGCTGTCCGGAAAAAAAATTTTTTGCCGACTAAACTTTTGAGATGTTCTGAAGCTTTGTCACCGCGTCGCGCGGACGATTAATACTTTAATGTTGCTCGTAGGATTCACAAAAACGAGCCATGCCAAGACAAAGGATCGGCGGCGGAAGTGCACTTCAACACCATCATGGACGACAACGCACATAAACTAACCAATCAAAGGAAGAGCAAGCACGGGAATGTCTTTACCAAAATACGCGCGTTTCTGAGGCCGACCGGATGGAAACCGATGGTGATACTCTTCCTGCTCTTTTCGTTCCAGCAGTTCTCCGGAATTTACATCACGCTGTTCTACGCAGTGACTTGGTTCCAAGTAAGAATGAGAGATCGTTTTGCACCCCTAAATAAATTTGCAAACACTTCTTGTTTCTCGAATTGCATACTTAGCCGGCAATGATAATATAATACACATTGTTAATATAATTACTTGTTAAATATCGATTTCTATCTAGATATAAATTGAGAAATAGTAGCGTGATCGACAGTAACGAGATTGATAAGCAATTAATCTGTCTCGCGGCGAATACTGTAATAATGCCGTATCGATCCGCGTGATCTTGATCTTGTCGCAATTGACTCGCAGGAAACGGGCGCGGGCGTGGACGCATACGTGGCATCGATTTTGGTGGGTATCATGCGTTTCATCTGCTCCATGATGAACACTTGGCTGCTGAGACGATTCTGTAGACGACCGTTGTGCATGATATCGGCCGTGGGGATGGCCGTATGCATGGGCATCTCAGGTTACGCCTCGTTGAGAATAAAACAGGGCGATCACAGCGGCTCCTGGGTGAGTCTGACGACTTACACTCGTCAAGAGTTCGATTAGTATCGCGGACGTGCGAAAACGTGATTTCTGTGTTCGTCAACAGGTACCGCTGGTGTGTCTGTTACTTTACGTGTTCACCTCGATGATCGGGATGCTGACCATTCCCTGGACCATGACGGCGGAATTGTTTCCCACCGAAATCCGCGGATTCGCCCACGCCATCAGTTACTCCATAGCGAACCTTCTCATGTTCGCCGCGCTGCAAAGCTACAGAGACCTGCAAACTTTCCTCGGAGGTACATCATGTCTCTCTCGATGTTTTATATTGTTTTTATATCGCAATATCTTATCTGCAAGGACGTTCTCTTGTCAGATAATTCTCTGCATTTTTATTAGCGAATTCTTCTCTATTTTCTGCACGTTGCTTTTTACTCAATTTTATCCCATTCGCGCAAATTTTACTCACACGTTTTATATTTATTGCAAATATTCCTATTCTGCACGACTTTAATTCTTATTTCGAGAGTAAAATTTAGAAAATCCCATGTCCTGAGCAAGTTTAACTAAAGAAATCGCGTTCTTTTGTTAAGGATCGTACGCTGTGCAATGGTTCTTCGCCTGTGTTTCCTTGGCAACGACAGCTTTCGTGTGGCTAATGCTGCCCGAGACACACGAGAAGAAACTGTCGGAGATCGAGGCATACTTCGAGAATAATTTCTTCGCCGTAGGAGCAAAAGTGACAACCAACAAACGAAGAGCAAAGCCGGATAAGTGCAAGAATCAACAAGATCCGCTGATGATTGAGCCGCTTAATCCGCCGAAAATTGTGCAGATCGCTTAAAATCTCTTCTTCTTTTTATCGCGCGATCTGCGAATCTCTGATCTGAATCTACGAATCGGTGAATCTTTGATCAAAGTAAACATCACGCGCGGATAGATGCGACAAACGGATTAATTAATTATCGTAACGCAGTTCATAATCGCGATTTTTTACTCAATTCCACTAATTCGTCCAAAAATCGTGAACGAATCTGTGCATAATATAATGCTATGAATTCTTAGTCGTAAAATGCAAAGATTTAGTAATGCGATGCTCCTTTATTATTTTATTTATATATTTAAGCCAGATTCACAGATTCGGAAGATTCAGAATCGGAATCAAAGATTCTCCGCGATTATTCGGAACTATTTAGACGGAGCAAGATATTTAAAAAAAATTTTGGTATATTCTTAAAGACTGTAAAAAATTTTAATTTTATTCACTAATGCTAATATTTGAGTGACAAATGAATATGACGTCTAGTAATTAGAAAGTAATTAAATAATTAAAATTAGTACATGATAATTTAGATGAATTTATATTGATTATAATTAATTACGTGTCCTTACACAATTATTTTTAATAAATTGTAGTTAATTAAAAAATAATTCCATGTACTTAGTTTTATATTACTAGGTGCGCAACTAAGTTTCCGGGTTTCACACATGAATGGCGCTAACGATACATGTAGTCGATATACATGTCTAAAGTTGTGTTTTTTTATTAACTTGGACATCTGTCAACAATAACCAGTTATAATACCAACACATATCGCAACGCAAAAATTTTTTTTCTAACAATAAAGATGTCGAGTTTTGTGCCAACTAAACAGCATTTGCGGGAAGCTTTGCTTTTCTGCTTCAACTTGAAAGAAAATGCAGCTGAAGCAGGTCGTTTGCTTAAGAAAGCCTACGGCAAACATGCACCATCGAAAACTACCTGTAAAGATTGGTTTAAACGCTTCAGAAGTGGCGATTTCGACACTGAGGACAAGGAGCGCTCCGGAAGACCAAAAACATTTGAGGACGCCGATCTGCAAGCGTTATTGGATGAAAATGATACGCAAACACAAGACAACAACAACTGATAAATTTGAACCATGCATTGCTCGAAAAACGGCCAGAATGGGACACGAGACACGAACGAGTAATATTGCAGCACGACAACGCTCCGTGCCATCGCACTTCCATCGTCCAGGACACCATCAAAACGCTGAAATGGGATCTGCTACCGCACCCGCTGTATTCACCAGACCTGGCCCCTTCCGATTATCACTTGTTCCGGTCGATGGCGCATGGCTTGGCTGGGCTACACTTGGCCAATTTCGAAGAAGTGCAGAATTGGTTGGATGAATGGTTTCGATTCAAAGACGCGTCGTTTTATCGTCGCGGTATTCATGTATTGCCAGAGAGATGGCAAAAATGTGTAGCTAGCGAGGGACGATATTTTGAATAAACCGTTTTTTGTATTTCTCTTGAAATTTTCCATTTTGCATTGATAAAAAAAACCCGGAAACTTAGTTGCGCACCTAGTATTTGTTTGATGCTTGTTCCGTCTAAGTCGTCGAAAGAAAAATGAATTGGAAACATGTTTTTCGCGGCGAATGGCACTCATCGGTTCGGACAAGGCGAAACAATCGAACTATATTTTTATACATTGACATGCTATATAAAAATAATAAAATATAGTAATAAAAAATCATAATTTTTCTCAACTCGCACCGCCGATTCGATGCTGTTCGTCGCGCTTTTGCTTGATGCATTGTTCTCTCTCTCTCTAATCGGTTTCATCGATGTTATTATTAAATTGAATCAATCTTTGTTCAAATGATTATTCAGACACAAAGAAAAATCATTTAAAGTAAGTTCGATGAAAGCGGCCATCAAGATACGTATTTTTATTATGTGATATCATTTTTCTTCGTTTTCTTGTCTTTTTTTTCGCGAATGGACGAACTTTAAATATACAATTTGTCTTGAGTGAAAAATGTAATTCATGTACGAACTCCTTCGGAGTGTATTTGTTTAGGAAATGAAAAATCTTGCATTCGCGAATTGAGATTTTAGATGCTAGTGAAATCTTAGTGAGAATGAATTTAGAGTGGCAAGATAATAATGCGTGTAGTGAGAAATATTTTTGCGTGTATTTGTTTGTGAAAAGAGCAATTCGAAGAGATTTCATGGATTTTATCTTTTCGCGAATTGAGATTTTTATATGATGAATGAAGTTCTGCTGCGAGAGAATTTAAAGTGATAATATATGTTGCGAAGATTCGTGATCTACCATAAACGAGAGATGTCCTCGGTTTTTTTTTTACATGTCGCTTTTCATTGTGTACACGCAATCAAGACAATATTTATGCCGATATATTTCGAATTGTTATACGGACTTCTATCATAGTATATACGATGCGATAATAAAATGATTGAATATAATGTTTGAATGAATAAAGTAAGTTTGTAATAAAAAACATTTGTCTCTAATTCACTTGCAACTCAACATATAATACAATGGCGAATATAATGGCTAAAAAATTATTAGATATTGCGCAATAATTATTAAAATGATAAGTTACTCGCTCAACAGATATCGCAGTTATAATTTTTTCGAATCGATTTTCGATAGAAATGCAGGATTAATTAAAGAAACTACGTACAATTGAGACTAAATTTTATTTTTTATTTTGTCTCGAAGAATTTTCGCAATATTCCTGATAGATTTCGAGTATATTAACGAACGAACAATGACAGAAATCGCTATTGCAATTGCCAAGTTTTAATATATAACGATTATTGTTTGTACAAAAAAAAAAAAAAAAAATAAATGAATAAAATACAACTCACATTCGCAAACAAAAATGGGGAGTAGTAATGGCCGACGCGTTTTGTAGCAATGTTTTATTATGTCAAGTTGGCAATTACAATAACAAAGTAATATCGTCGCAATAATTGCTTGCGATTTATCGGCGTGAAAAAATCTCGGTAGAGCTCTCTGTTTTTTATTCTATTATTAATTTTCTTGTCTGCCTCGTTTCCTTGTCAAGCTCGTTACGCGCGTTTTGCTCGGAATTAAAGGGAAGAAAAGATGCGGTGAAAGCGGGACACCGTGTATATTCTCTTCTTTTTGTTTTTGAAAGGGAAGCGACCGGAAGATGCAACAAATATGCGTTCGCTAATATAGAATATCCCAAAACCACTGAACGTTTCTTCAATCGATGGTCTTGGAATGCCCAATATGATACAAACAGGATGATAAAAAATGCGCGATCTGAAAAGATCCGCCGTGCGATAACTAATTATAATCGTGATCAAAACAGCAATCGGAATCAACTATGCTACACGTCTTAATTGACTAGTCGTATTTTATGTATCATTAAAGAAAAATCGCTGCACCTTTTGAACAATTTAAGTAATTGCATTGCAAAAAGCTATCGTTGGAAAAGTGAATTAACCTCAATTTGGTCCTGCGTTTTGTGACGCGTAATTGTGTCGCAATTATCGAAAAATTATCCGCGCTCAGGCGAATTAACGTTGTCAATGAGACAAATAACAATAATACTCACGTCTGCATTGCCGTGACTCGAAGAAAAGCCTTTCTGCCGAAATTAAAACACTCGCGAACAAGAACACACGAAATTTTATCTGCGCACAACATCGAAATTTCTACAAGATTTAAAATCATGCAGTGGCGCCAACGTCATGAAATTTCAGGAGCGGATTAAAAAAGAAAAGAGGATTTTTAGAGCCCCTAAAAGACAAAACCCAATCATTCAAAGTTAAAAAGACGTAATTTCATTAAAAAAAGTTACTTGACAGGGAAATAAAATATTTTTTGCATAATAAAAATTAAAACATAATCGATAGCGCATACCGGTAAATATTGTTTAAAAATTTTATTGAACCTTATTCAAAGACTTTTATTCGTTCATAAATATTTACAGCAAAAAAATCTGTTTACGCCTTTTTAACATTGAGCGAATCAATCATATAATTTATAATAATTGTAATCGAAGTATAATTATTGTGACGATAAAAAACGCAGTAATTAACGCAATATATTCTTTTGCATCAAGACAACAGAATGGAAATTTAATTCGCCGACATTATATCAAGCTTTCCTCGCTAAGTTGTTAAAAAATATTTCGAACCTCCGTAAATTGTAATTTCCAAATTTTAGAAGTGAATCAATCGCATGGCTGATCGTACGAGTCACGCTGTCAGTCAATTGTTATATATACTAAGTGGACTTTATCAATAATAATCAAATCCTCGCATTGGGATAATAAATATATCTAGGATATCTCGCAATATGCACAAAGCAGGCGAATAAAAACTGCAACTTGTATGCCGAACGCAAAACGTAGCGGTGCAGCAGCTCGATGAAACGCTTAAAATTTATTATGCGCGTGAAGGGTAACACGTATTAACAATCATTAAAATGATAACGCACAAAGTCTACACCCTAGCAGCTTTCTCCGTCGATCGAACGATCTGGTTTCCATTTCTTGGGGAAAAAAAGAAGAAGAGGATCGCCAAGAATCGTTCGTAACGCTTGTTACACAAGTTAAATCCTTACGTATATCACACATGCATTGACACAGTTACAACGCAAGTCGAGTATCGGTATTAATGATAATAATAATGCTCGTAAAACTTAACAGAACAAGCGATAAACACGATCACCACGCAGTCTGGCTGTGTCAGAGAGAGTGTCTCTCGTGCCCTCAGCACGACCAACGCTGCAGGCAGTGACAATGAGCTACCTAATCCGTATATTAATTATTACATTAGAGTCTACGTATCATATCGTATATGTATATATATACACAATCGGTACACAACGTCAGACCATGCCCTAAGTCGGCGTGAAATCAAACGGGTCGACCAACAACCAAAAAAAGTGCTGAATATTAAAGCGTTCAAGAAAAACAGGTAGGAAAGTTCCAATTTCAGATAAAATATCGCATCTTACAAACATGTAAATTTGTCTGATTCCTGCATCGAACCCTTTAATTTGCGCGCGACTTTTGCCTTTGCAGGCGGCCTGCTTCTTAGCGTATCTGGACTTTCAGTTTAAAACCGCAACATAGCTTCGTGAAAAGAACGCCGCGCGGCGAATAATATCGATTGTTAAATGCGCAACGAAGATATCTCTCCCTTAAGAAGCTACCAAATTACATTTCCCTTGACAATCATAGTTCTCGAATTAAGTGTCGCGAAAGCGCAGCGTAACACGCGTGTGGAACATATTCGCGAAATGTACTTTTATCAAGATTCTCTAGTCGGAGCGCAGAATGGGAAAAATATCGTGTCCGTTTATTAGAATCTGCTATACTACGAGAATATAATCGGTAAGACGTTTGTCGCAAAGTGTTCATTTTATACGACGTCGGCAACA